ACACTGTTAAATTAGGCCCCTGCATTGCTTCCAAGGCACTCCCCTGAAATCAGACAATTAGTCTTCATAATGATGAAGAGCAAGCACTGTTCTGAGTGGAAAAGCCACTCCACGAGTAATGCAGTGCCAGTGTTCATTGCTTTCACTTCTCGTTGCTTTCCAAGCTCCTGAGGTGCCGGAAGGCTGGAGGCGAGAAGCTGTCAGCGTCAAATACTTGAAGAAAGAACATTTGTATTTCCATTTTACTTTCCTCAATTATATATTGTATTGTCAGGGCAACAAGTAGGCAGGCAGCTTGCCTGGCCAGTGCCTGTGCTGTTCTGGCATAGAGGATCAAGCACTTCATGCTTCAGAGCTGTCAGGCTGGCACTTTTCACCACAAAATGCAGTGCTAAATTAAAGCTAAATGAAAGTAGAAATTTTGCTTCAGAGCTTGATCATGTAATTTTCTTCCATCCTTTTGTTTGTTCAGTGGCTAAGGAAGTGAACCACTCCCTTGGTAGGAGCATCCATTGAGTTATAAACATGTGCGATATTAGAGCACCTTTGTGTGTATTTATGTATGAGATCATTACAGTTGCTGTTTTAAAGATATCCATCTCTCTAGTACATAAAACCTTTGGCAGTAAAATTGTAAATCCACGCAATGGGGTGTTAAGCACACAAATCCAATTAAATCCTTCAAACAGCTTTGAAAGCCTTTCCCAGAGGGTACAGAAATGGTTATTTGTGATTCTCTTGAACTGCCTTTTATGGCAGCTTGCTTGGAGTGTCTGTGACAAGTAGTCTTCTGGGAGTTTAACGCTGCAAATGGTAGGTTCTTTAAACAAGCAAATGAATAAACTTAAGACTTGGTTTTACTCTTAACAGATCCTACACAAATGGGAGGCCTGAGTATGCTGCTTCTAGCAGGGGAACATGCCCTGACTGCACAAGAGGTAAGGAACTCTCCATTACTGTGAGCCCTCAGTTTAAAGAGCTCTGAAGTGTATTTGACCAGTGGGAAATGAAATTTAAGATACATTAAGATACAATTTAAGGTACTAGTGTCAGGAGGACGGAGCCGGGCTCTTCTCGGTGATGGCCGAGGATAGGACAAGGGGCAACGGGTGCAAGCTGGAGCACAGGGAGGTTCCACATTAACATAAGGAAAAACTTTTTCACTGTGAGAGTGACAGCAGGCTGCCCAGAGAGTTTGTGGAGTCTCCTTCTCTGGAGACATTCAAAACCTTCCTGAACACGTTCCTGTGTGACCTACTCTAGGTGGTCCTGCTCTGGCAGGGGAGTTGGACTAGACGATCTTTCGAGGTCCCTTCCAACCCCTAATATTCTGCGTGATTCTGTGATTCTCTGATATTTGGTAACCTCAGGTGGGACTAGTATGAGCCCTGTGATACAAGTCTTGTATCCCAGCTGTGAAGGTAGAGTTGGGCCCAGTTTTTACATCAGTTCACTATTAACTCTGCTGACTGAATGGAACAGTCTGCCCCGTGAGAGGATATTGTCACAGGTAGAAGGGTTGATATACAGTGACTGAGTTAACAAACAGGAGATTTGCAGGCTCTTTCGGGCAGCGATTTCATGTGCTTGTGCAATGCCTCACACAATTGTGGCCTTGGCACTAATAGCAAAATAAATTCCTAATAATTTCCGTACAGGCAGTGTTGTTGTAAATGCATTCTGAATCCATGCAAGTGCTAACAGGTGATCAAAGTATTGCAATCTACTCCTGTTCACTATGTCTTTATATCTAAAAAGAAGTTTGTAGTTCAGTTGCCTTCGCAAACATTTTGTTTTTACAAAGGATCTAGTAAATAGAAGTGTTGCTGAATATCACAAATAGTGCAGAGACCTCTGGTCTTTATTATTATATTATGATGATGATTATTATTTATGATCTGGTTTTTGGGGCAGCTTTGAAAATTGTTCAAAAGGTGGCTTGTATGTTGGTTAAAATAGGTAGTCACTGCCATAAATCTCTAGCCTGGAAAAAAGAGTAGTGGAAGTGAGGAGGGTTTCTTTTTTCTTTTTTTGTTGTTGTTGGGAGGAGAAGCAATAATTAACTGTCTATATGTGATACTTCCAAATACAAAATGTGTGGTGGATTTGATATGAGTTGCTTCTGTACCGTCAAGACTGAGCCAAGACTCCTTAATGCTTTGCACACCAGTTTGAGCAGTGGAAGTCTTTGTGCAGGTGTGGGTTCTGTGCTGCAGCACAAAAAATAAGAAACACTAGGGTAAGGTTGGAAGAGAAGTGAAAAGAATTTGATTATTTTGTGCTAGAATGAGAATGTCCTGTAGTTTTCAAACTTTGAATGTCTCAGCTTCGAGTTTAAAAACTGTTTTTACTATGCTGTTAGGTTTAAACGAGGGGGAAGGTGTATTGTGGTCACAGATACCCAGTTCCATTAAGGATCTTTGCTATGACCTTGTGAGTTGAGCTTTCTTGATTTTACATGAAAATTGCCTCAAGTAGTATGATTTCAGATGGCAGCAAAGGAATAAAATCTACATGTGGATTTAGAGACAAATCAAAAAGGATGTTGTGTGGTCATTTTATTATACAGATGGGTTTTTTGATTGTGACTTTCTTTTTTTAAGCAAAAAGGCACATTTCCCATGTGCCTACATAAGTGCTTTTTTTTTCTGATAGAAGCATGCAGTATGGCTCGTGATGTAATATTTACTTCATGTATAAGCTATACTATGCTGTGCTCTTTTGGGCCTGTAGTCTTCTTTAGAAATCTGGCCCTCCACATAAAAGAGGCAAGCTGTGTAATCTGCTTTCCCTCAAAATGTAGAGCAAAATAATTGTCACAAATAAAACCTGAACAAAACTAGTTGAGGGATTTGTTGGCAGCTGTTAGAATCATGATTGGCCAGAAATGAGCCTGTACTTACTAACGAGTTCACGTATTTTAATTGTCCTGTGCTATCTGAAAAGCAGGTAAGTGTCAGAGCACTTTGCAGCGAACAAAACTGTACATCTCCAATTCTTTCAGAGGGTACCCCATGTAAAATACATCCTCCAGGACAATCTGGGTGCTTGGTATTCTCAAAGAGGCCCAAATGGATGAAGTTCAGTCCTCCTAACTGTGTGTCAGCGGTGTCTGTGCGCTGGGAAACTTCCACAGTTTCTTTGCGTGGCAGTTCCATTTTCCTTTGTTTCCTTTTGATTCAGTGTTTTAGTGGTGGTTAGATGTGGAGCAAATTACTTCTACGGAAACAAAAATATTGTTTCCCCGAATGCAATAAAGATCCTAAACCTGTTTAGACTTGGATAACAGAACAGCATCTCAGGGTTGCCATCCTCGGGTGTGTGGGCAGAGGACATGCAAGATGTTCATCTTTGCATGCCTATGGGACAACGTATGGTTGGATTTCCATGCTTATACTTGAGAACGGTTTTGTGCTTAAACCAGTGTTTGGGAGGTTAGCAGAACATGCTAGGAGGTGGTATGACAGGCTCAGTAAGAAGCTCAAAAATTCGTCGTTGAATTGGTAAGCTGCTTTCCTCTTCAGTGGAGATGGGGTTACTTGTGTTAAAGTTGTTATTGATGTGGGAGAGAATTTGGTGTACTAAGGTGACTGCTGAGGTATTGTCAGTGAAGAGGTTCAGAAGTTGCTTAACTGTGGAAAACATAGGTACTGTTTTTATACGCATCTAAGTATATAAATATATGTCCTATATCTAAAACCCTGGCATTTTCTATTAGAAAAAAAAAAGACATGCAGTGTCATTTTAAAAGAATGGTCTAAAGGATATCGTGTAGTCTTCATTATCATTAAAGATACACGTGCGTGTATATGGTTCTTCAAATCAGGAGACTGGCAGACATAAGATTACCTGTCAACATGTAGTTTGACTGCTTGGGCATACGTATGATTATGCAGACTTGCATGGCCTTGTAAGCATAGGTCTTAAATACCATTGTCATCTTAAAAATTGTTAATAGAAAGGAGGGAAGCACTGGCATAATTTGCTCACAACTTGGGAGAAGATGAGGGAAATTATACTTAAAGAGGTCTGCTAATCCCACATAAATATAGTCAACGCCCGCTGATTTTCTGTCAAGTGTACGTTAAATGGATGTATGGGGACTTTTCAAGTCAGGTGTTTAACCTTTGAGTTGTCCGAAGCCCAGATGTCACGTAACAAAGTGACTCACCGGCGGGAGAATGGGAAGAGGCACGACAGCAATATTTACAAAATTGCCTTGAGGCTTCAGTCGCCATCTCTGCGTGTTGCTGGTTATGATCCTATTTTTGTAATTTTTTTTCAATAGACTAGAGAGTTTTTCTTCTGATAACAGAAGTCAGTGTCGGTACGTGATTGAGTCCAAGCAGCAGCTCGAGTTCCTAAGCAGATAGGCGAGGGAAGCTACAGACATTAGCAGCAGTAAACAAACAACTTGGATACACAGTGAGTTTCCACCTGGCTTTTGGGTCCTTTCACCAGTTACACAAGGCTGTGGTGTTTACATGAGCAAATTTTGTTGAACATCGGATCAGAAACGCCAGACGGGTCTGCTCCAGCTGCTGTCGACCTGCTGGGCAAAGCCTGGTCCTCACAGCAGGCTCGTTAGGAGAAAGCCTGAAGCTGGCTGAGGAGGGCTCCTTGCTCACCCGCTCGCCTCCCTGCACATCTCCCTTACTTGCCCGCCAGACCGTTTGCTTGCCTTACAGCAGCACCTAGTGGCCTCTCTGTAGGTTACTGCCCAGAAATCCCAGAACTTGTAGCGTAGTCCAAAACCTGGCTCTTCTGCCGGTGTCTCCCCGCGCCGCCGCCCGGCGCACCAGGATGGCATTAAAGCCTGGCATCAGCCAGTGCGGAAGGTGACCCAGGGGCTGTCCTTCGCCCTCCTTCGGTGTGATCCCTTCCAGAGCATGTTGCAGTGACCTGCAGGGAAAGGGAGGCTGCCAAGGCGTTTTCCTTGCAGTTTCCTTCTCTTTGAGAACAAAATGTGATCTTGCGTGTGATGCCGGGTCTGCGCAGGCTGCTGTTGCCCAGGGTGTAAATCAGAAGTGGAAAATCTCTCGGTGCAGCTGAGGGTAAGATGGGAGGAGGAAGGAGGAGAAGAAATGGGGAGATGTTGAGGGTGTTTTATTACAGCAGGAAGTGAGACTTAGGCAATGGCACTATCTGTGCATCCATTCCTTGTGGTCATTATTTTAACGCCTTGATCAGGTTCAGCCTGGCAGAGGTTAGAAATCCTGGAGATAATTTCCCACAGGTCGGGAGTGTGTGGGGAAGCAACAGAGTAGAAGAAACAAGCTCAAATTAGTGTTTCTGTCAAGCAAAGGCAACAGCGTTAACTTTTTTTTAAGATAACGGAAACTGATAGGAAAAGTATACTTGTTCTAACCACAAAACTACCTCTGAGTTACTGGGCACCAGCAATCTGTCCTTTACACACAAAGCTGTGGGAAACTGGGCTTCACACGTTCAAGGGCTGGTGGTTCCTGTACCGCAAGGTGAACAAACTGTGCTGGACACCCAGTACGTGGCCCCAGAGGCAGCGGGAAGGCTCATCCTCTGTCTCTGCACCCAGCTGGGGGGCGAGGGCCTTACAGCACTGGTGTTGCAGGGGCTGAGCCCTGACAGCCGCCTCAGGAGTACTTCTCCGCTCCCACATGGTGCTCCTGGGGTGGCACGGGTCAATGGCTCCTAACCCAGCACTGGTTTGTACCGTGCCAGCTTGGGCATGTGTTGGCACATTGATGTGGATGAGCCCCTAGATAGGCAGAGGAAGCTGCGAAGCCACGGCCTCCATTACGGCGGGTGGGCAGAGTTCGGGCATGCGTGGCCCCGCAGTGCCCAGGGAGCAGAGAGGTTTTGTACGGCTTCCTTGTTCATGTCTCTTCCCCTAAGCAAAGTAGTGCCCTTTCATATGGCACTCCACTTGAGAACAGACTGCTTCAGTAGACACCACAAACTAAGCTACCTAAGGCAGCTGGTCAAACTGCAGAAAATTTAAGTTATATGCGGAACCAAATCCCAAATTTAGTTATTCCTGGGAGAATCCCACCAGTGAAGTGGCCTGAATTAACCAAATGAGCACTCAGACATGGAAGCAGTATCCTTATGTATTTCACACCAGTGCAGAGACTCAGACTTTCAGAGACGGCTCACTCAGCAGCAGCAAGATCAGTATGCATCCCTGGTACAATCCACACCGGTGCTGAGGTACAGGCATCTTAAAACAGATCGTACAGAAACATGGGAAGAGCAGTAATAAACATTACATCAATGAAAACAGGAACACGAACCATTGAAAAAGCAAAAGACAGGCATTAAAAATACATTCTTTGTAACCCTTTGGGTTGGTATACTCCCATAGTACATTGGTAAAACATCCTGTTTGGTATTTAGTAAATACAATGGAAGTGTAGATTATAGGAGGCACTATTACTGCTTGGTTTTATGGCAGGGAAGAAACAAGTTCAACTCTGTATGTAAGCAAATTGTTGTGTGGTGTAGTTCGCTTTGGCCTGTGGGTTGCTACACTTGGATGTAGTATTTTCAGGGGAGTATGAGTAGCAGATTCCTGAAACAAAATGCCATTGGTGCTGTTGCCATGCTTAAGCATCTCAAACAGCAGCAGGAGCAGCAGTACAAACTGCATGTGCTGTAGGCCTTCTTATTCTGTGGTGCTTTGTGCTTACCAGCAACAGATGCAGTTGCTAGTTAGATCTCATGTGTGCATTCACTAATGAATACTATTGACATACTTGTTTGGGTAATAAATAAGAGACATTTGCATCAAAATGTTTGAAATAAACTGAAATTTCATGGAAAAAAAAAATTGTTAGGGGATAAAAAAAATTCTATCCTTGTACTCTTCCTAAAATCCCACAAGGCTTCCTTCCTTTATTTTATTTCCTATAAGCCATGTTAGGTACGTTATTTTATCCTAACATTACCACATGCTTCTAGGAGATATGCATATAAATCTTTTGCACTCAAATGTGACATTTAATGAATGTATCATATTTGATACAATTTCTTTACAGAGTGATGCTTGATTAACACATTTCTGGCTAATAAGAGTAGTACCAAGCTCTGTGTCAATTCAAATAAGGCTGTTGTTTTTGAACAGTCATTTCTTTATATTTTGATTTCAGAAGTTATGTATCTTTCTTGCACTGCATCTCATAAGCACCCCTAAATGGGTGTTTAAGTACATTATTTGAGTCATTTTAGGCTTGTGGTAGCCTTAATTACTTATTTTCATGCTCTTAGGTGATTGGGGATTATTTTTCTAGTAAGTGTTTCTGTCACTTAGCAACTCCCAGTGTCTTCAAAAAATTTTTTTAGCTTCTAAGTAATTTTCTTTTTCAGAATGGTAGCACAAATTATAAATATAGCAATGTTGATAGCATCACCAGTACAAGATAGTTGTGTATGTAGCCCAATATCATCAGTTTAGTATTCTGTTGCATAAAACTCTTTTGCAAAGTTTGGAATTACAGAAGAAAAAAAAAATCCGTGGTATTTTTGTGGTCTTCCTTCTTAGGTGATTTTCAAATGCCTTAAAATAGGTGCAAAACCTGTTTTCACCTATAAACTTGATTAAACCTGTCCAAGACTATGAAACATTAGATTGCCCATCTTCTCTTAAACATTGCTTCTTGTTACTGCTGCCTAGTATTTCATTTTCCTCACTTTTGTTCTTAGCTTGAAAGAAGCACCTTTGAGGTCTTACTCTGCACACTCCTTGTTTCAGGTTTCCTCAAGTACTTTCCAGTCTGATGCAACTAATTCTACAGAAGCCTGTCAGAAGTCATCACTGTTTCAGTTTGCAGAGGTGAGTTTCTTAAAAAGGGTTGTCTTCCCCAGTGTTTCCTTTTAAGAAGCATCTGATGTTCAGCTGAAAGAGAAATCAAAAATCTTTAACTAAAATTCATGCTTTTATTCATTCCTTCTTTTCGGGTTTATGGTACTGGATCATTTGTCAGGTAGATAGGTCAGACTTGAAGCGCTGGAGAGTCTGTTTAGGAATATGGTGGAAGTCCTGGTGCAATAATGGAGATGTGGTTTAAGCAGTAATTTAGAGATGTGTCATTCCTGCACTTAGTTCTAAACTAGGGTCTTGCTAACTAGAGTTTTAACATATGTCTTTGGATGTTATGTTATGAACTTTACCTATTGTGACTGCTTTAGTTGTTGAGTCCATCAAAAATAACTAGTTCTGGAATTTCCGAAATTTTCAATTTTCTTCTATTCTGTAACCACCAAATGGCTCTATGCAACTACGCTTTAGTTTTGCAGTGCACAGTATTTTTGTCAACATATTTCCAGTTGTTGCTAGAAGTGCAGCTGTGGTGTGTTGTTGGGTCTTTGTTTGGTTTGTTGTTTTTTTTTTTTAAAGTATACACTGTATCATCCCAGTTTTAATGGATTTCATTCATATAAATAACATGGTAAGAATGAGGTGGCGAGGAAGCCTGGTCCTCTGTAAGCACCACTTGCTTGTTGGTATCTTTCCAACTTTTGAAATGGGCATAATCAAGTGCCATGTAAATATTTAGCTGTATAAATATTGATTGTACCGGACACTGGGTGATATTTGAGTGAGTGCATATGGAAAGAAATTTTGTCATGGCAGGGGCTGCTTCTTATTACCTGCTTTCATACCACCTGTGAATCTTACTCCTGTGTCTTTAATACTCATTGCTGTCTGCACCTTCATACTCCTCCCTAAACGGCATCACTTATGGAGCAGATACATTGCAATGCTAGCATACAGAATATGCGATTATTTTTGGTTTGTTTTTTGTTTGTTTGTTTTAACATCAACCCACAAGACCTTGAGTTCCAACTTGAGATTTGAGGCTTTCAAAATGTACTAGAAATAAATTAAAGCGCTGATCCTTTATTTCTGATTAAAGGTAATGGCCAGAGTGAAGTACATAACCTGTAATTAGGCTCTTAAACAGCCTGCTGGCTTCTCTTGGTAGGCAAAGGAAGTGCCTGGTGTGCCAGCAATGAAAAGCAATACTTTGAAGCTTCTTAATATTGGTTAATTCCAGTGTCACTTACGATACTTCTATAGTAATAATTCTGCATCCGTTGTCCAGTATTTCTGAAATGCTTTTGTATACTTAAACTGTCAGTTGAGCAATGTCATACTTTGTGTAGTTTCTCTTGATAACAGTCTGTTTCTCGAATTTCACTGCTGAATCTTTTAAAGAGTAAAGACAAATACCAGCTCACTTAATTGTTTCAGTTCATTTTACAGTGCCCAAGCAGTAAAGTGCCAGAACCACATGGTAGTAAGGAGGACCTGTGTTGTATGCTGCAAGATATGCTCTTGCTAAAGGCTTGTGACCACTGGCTTTTCCTTACCCCTCGAAGAACAACTTCAGTGGGTACCAGGAAACAAGCTCCCCTGCACAGCTAAAACATGCAGTTTAGAAGTAGCTTACTGATGGTCAGTAATTAGAAATGCGTATTGGCTAGTCTTACTTTTCAAGGATGTTAATTAAACAGAATGTGAGGCTGCACCTGAGCAGTGCATGGTAGGTACATGTGTCAATGGCAAAATAATTGGTACTTGTACCAAGGTCTAACATTAATCAGAGATGTCATTTGCAACAAAAATAACTGACACAAGTTAAACAGTATAGAATGCAGTTACCTTAGTGTCTGGGATAGATCAGGTATCAAAGTACCTGCACGCATTGTGTCCCTGTCCACGCTTACCTTTGTAGTGTGCTCTATCAGCACCACCATTTCGCAGTCTAGGGTCTTTCACTGAACTGTGAAATACAATATAGTGCGAAGTTTTTGTTGCTAACCCTGTTTTGACATACCAGTGGGCAAATAAAAGCCCTTCAAAAAAGTCTGAACCTGTTCTGTTAATCCTAGGAGAGGTTTTCCTTGTGAAAAGTAGTTCAAGACCACCATTTCACAGATCACCCATTTATGTGTCTCCTAGAAAGCAGATGCTGTTCTTTGGATGGGTCTGCTGGGACTCGTTTACATGCTGTTAGGTACCAGGTGCCTTTCTGTATGATGGATCAGAAATTTAGCACATTGAAGTTTGATATTGAAACTGAAGAGTTGGGTAATACAAACATTGTTTTCCTGACAGATCTCTTCAAGCACATCGCAACCTGGAGTCCCAGGAGCTGTAAAACAAACGGAAGAGTCTGCGCTGTTTCAGTTTGCTGAGGTATAATGGCTGAAATATGATGGGGGAGGATGGGAGGAAGCATGGAACCGGTAAAAAGTTGTCACTGAATGGCTAAGCACCCTGTCTTGTAAGGGATTCCCATCAGCAGATGTTTCTCTTCATGACAACATTGTGTTAAGAAAATTGTAGGGGGAATAACCCGTGATTGGATGAGATGTTGGCCAGTTCTACCAGCTGTAGCACATAGAAAAGATACTGGGCTTGTGAACGTTACCTGGCCTTCCATACCAAAGGACCATTGCAGATGTATTTTCCAAATGGCCTCTTAATTTACGAGGAAAACAACAAATAAAAGACATTCTGAAATGGCACTCTGCACTGCCTATGGAGGAGGCTGCAGTAGTGCAAAATGGCAGGAATCCTTTGAAAAATAACCTTGCAGGTCAAAGGAAGCTTATCACAACAGCTACAAGGGTATGTAACAGCATTATTAGCTGGTGACTTATAAAGCCTATAAATTATCCATAAGTATGTAAGCTGTCCTCCTTCCTCCACGTATTGAAGACTTGGAGTTCCTAAAGATTGCTTTTAAGAATTTTTTTCTCCCACATGTTTAATGTACCTCTGTGAATTGACTTCCACACGTATACTCTTCTTGTCCATTTGGGGGAGTCTGGTACTGCTTGCAGAATCAGTTATACTAAAGGTATATTTGTGGTGTGTCTGGAAAGATTGGGCTTGGAGCTGGTGCTGTGGAGGAGCATAGTGGGATGAAAAGACACCCCGTTTGTTACTCCGTGTGCTTACAGAGGTTTGACTACATACAACATGCTTCTTTCTGTTAAATGTTAAGCTTATTGTGTACTCTGTGTTTTTAGCTTGGCTAGGATGGGCCTTGGTGCATTTCTTAGGAGGCCCAATTAAGAAAAAACAATTTACTGATTCAGGTGCCGTAAAATACCTGATTATAAACACCCTTATAAAAGATTGGATAGAGTTATTATCTCTAATCATGAAGATGTTTTCATATTTGCCACCTTTTTTTAAAGTTGCAGATTAATTTGGAAAGTTCTTTTGAGAAAAATAGTGGAATTGAGCAGGATAAAGCCATGTGCTGAAGCCTGTCTTAAACCAAGTAAAAGATACAAGCTGGAGAATATTTCTTATGAATTTTATTGCAAAATATTGCAAGAGTGAATCCGCTCAGTTAGTTTCAAAAGTCTTAACCATCTTACACTTTAATTGAACAGGAATTGTAGATATATGCAGAATTTAACAAGGTATGAATTGCCTTTAGTGTAGCATTTTCGAATTGTCATGTAAAACCTGACTTAGCCATACGTTCAATATTTCACAGAACCTAAAATCATTTCCTCTCCTAATTGAACGAACAACAAAATGACAAACCTGAAAATTGTCATATGGATGTGATAGTGCATTGAGTTGCATACCACTACGCTAAGCCAGCTCATTTGGCACATTGGAGTGCATGCATGAATCATCAAATGTTAGGTAGAAGAGGTGCTTAGAAAGTTAATTGGAAACTGGTGAGGACAGTTTTAAAGTCACGGTTAATCTCTTTTTCTTGTAAAAAATATTTAAATATATGTGCAGTCTGGAGGGGGTTGTATTTTTTTGTTGTTTTTTTTTTTTCAGTTCCTGAAAATAAGGGACAGAAATGTGGAAAAACAAACAAAACCTCGTTGGCCTGGTTATTTCTCCTGTGTTACACTGTTGTTGTGAAACCTTAATGGCAGTGACTAACATAATGTTTTATCTATAGCAATAGAGAAATGACATTTATAAGACTGCAGCCTGATTTCATTTAGGTTGTTCCAGGGGAAAGTATTGAGCATGCTACAGAACCTCTTTAAGCTTTCTACAGCCCCCACTATTAAAGCTGCTTGTGCCCTTTCAAATACAAGGGCTTTCATTTGCTTTCATTTATCTTTGTCAAGTTTGGCAAAAATCCTGTTCCTTACTGTGCCACTTCTTACTGGGCCTGTCTATATGAACGCATTACTGCATTTAAGTAAGCTAAAGTATGGTAAGTAATTTGCAGTAGGCTGCTGTCAGCAATGTGCAGTGCTACAAAAGAAAAAAGAGAGGGAGAGAAAGTAGTTATTTAGCCAGTAGCCAAGTAGACCTGTGAAGAAATGTGGAGTGTGCTGTGGTCGGATGTGCCTGGAGACTTTTGGCAGCCATCCCAGCTCAGTTTTGGTTCTGGCTGGGTGTTCTTCATATGTTCCCTTTCTCTTTGCCGCCTTTGCAGCAGGGTGAGTAAGAGTGCCTCTTTGTGAAGACAGCAGTCCCATTGAGTAGATTTGTCATTTAAAATGGACACCTTTACCCCAGGAGTACAAGTCCACTGTCACTCAGAAACAGCTCATTATATGTAGATGTAGCGTGGGATTCTTTTCATCTTTACAGCCTCAGTTAGCCTTTCGTCTGGTTGTCTGTCCCAAGTGCTATAGTCATCAATTAACGCTGTTGAGGATATGGCTAATGAGGCCCGCCCAGTGACTTGCAACAACAGATGATGAAAAACCCAGGACTAAGACTTCGTTGGGTCCTGCAGGTGCACAGGCAGGCATCTTGGAGGTCTTCAAAGATGATGTGACGTCCTCGTAAGAGTTTTTGAAATTTGGCGTGTTGCTAAGTCACAGTCTTGGCTTTCTCATTCTGTTCTGATCTTGGCAAATACTTGGTCCTACTTTTGTACTTCTCATTTGTACCTTTATGGAGAGCCATTATGTAGGCCAGTGATTTCTGAGCAGTGGGCTGTGTTCTTTAGCGTGGTGGCTTTTTACAAGCCGTCTGCTCGCATGGGCTGGTTGCTGTCGTCCTCCTTGCCATGTGAGGGAAGCAGAGCAGATGGGACCCCTTGCTCTCTTGGTTTTACTGGATGTGTGTTTGGCAAACGTGAACAGATGGTGATGACTGCTTTGTTCAGAAGAAACAGGAGTACCTCCTAGATTTACTTACTAAACTCTCATCTGTTATTAAACAAAGAAAATGCTTCCAGAGACTGTAAGCAAAAAAAATTGCTGGTTTAACCATCTTAAAACCAATATGAAACCAAAACTCCCAAACTCTCACTTTCAGCTGCTTTTCTAAAGTTTTTCCCTAGATGATTTAATCAAAAAACCAATCATGTGCAGCATGCAACAAGGTGAAATTTTCTTTGTTAGTCCAGCAGGTTACTACTATTTAAGAAAAATGCATGCCTGAGGATGATTTTGTCCCTGCTGCATTCTCTTACGCTCACTTTGAGCGGGGTGACGGGCAACCTTTTCTCTTTATTTCTTTGCTGAACAGAAGGTTTGAGTCCAAACCTTTTGGTCAAAATGCCTTGAAATTGGGAGTGAGAGAGCTAGTCAGTATCTTCTCTTCCAGCCTTCCCTTAGGTAAAGCTGTGATCTTCCCAGGTAAAGCCATTGCGTAAAATAGATGAATATATTTGCTGTTTGCCTTTGAAATTATTAAATATCTGTGTTGAAGTTGAAATGCCTGTTCTAGGAGGGAAATGAAAAAGTGGTACCATGACACATGCTTCTTATGCAAACTAGAATGCAGTACAGTAGGTAAAATGCTGACCTGTGATGTAATAAAAGATAATAACTTGATCCTAATGATCCCCAGGTTAAACCTGTACATAAGAAGGGGCTATTCGTGGTTGTAGTACTGCAGGTTCCGATTCTTCTAATTAAAATTGGAAGATGGCATTAAGACAGGGAATGAGATCTATAATCTCACTGACAGCTGATTGATCAGCCATCATCTTACTTCTGATATTTGGCCATCAACTTCGGCAGAATGAGTTCTATATTCATGTCTCTTGCAGTTTCTTTCCTTGACCGCGAAGAGAATTTTTTTGCTGAAGAGTTTGCTTCCTCTCTTTCTGTTAGTACTACAAGGATCTTGCTTGCATTTTGTTAGGAGCACCCAATCTCTGGTCAAAACTGAATTCTTTACTCTTTCCTCACATTGTGTTGTACTTCAGTGTGTGGTGTTTTTCTGTCCCTTTTCTGCCATTCATATTGCACTGAAAAAAATAATTAAGAGCTGACAATTTATTACACTAGAAAGATAAAGAGTTAAGGCCCTCTTCCTGCTAAGTGCAGTGTAGAAGATCACTTTTTCCAGTGGGGTCCTGAGAGGGTTTGCTGAACTGTCTCAAAGCAAAACTAGAATTTTGAATTATTTTAGTTTAATATTAAAAGTTATTATTAATGCACAGTCAAGTAGTATTCACCGTAATTTAAATAGCTTGCAGTAAAATGGATGTCCTGGATTTTGGCGGGTGGGTGGGGAAGGTGTGTGCAATGAGTCTCCTTGACAATTGAAAAGTAAACCCTTCAAATAATGTAGTTTGAAAGAAAGACATTAAATCAAAGAGAAAGGCTAAGCTGATATTTTTTGCATCTGAAAGGTCATTGTCATAAATGTGATTCCTGCAATGAGGCAGATGTCACGGAAACACTGGTGGTCTTGCCGCTAATCTTAGGGTTGTTCGAGGCTTCCAGGTCAAATACTACTACTATGTAGTGCCATGCCAAAAAAGATCAAATATGAGAAATAATTATTAATTCTTGCGTTGGTGAACTCATAATGCTGCACTTGAAGCAAGTCAAAAAGAATTTGGCTGTAAAAGCAATTTCCTGAAGTGCAGTAGTAGTTATTTAGTGCTGGTGCTGGCACACCAGCATCTATTTAGAAGGCTAGATTTGATCTCCAGACTTAAGGTCTTACTTCTTTTTTTCTAACTGAAGAAAATGAAACAAGCAGTGTCTGTGAGGACAAATGGTCCTTTTCTATATCTAACCAAATGGGAAATACTGGCTAGGCTTTCCAGGAGAGTTTTATTTAACCTTGACCACCACAGTTCATGTTTTTAAGCAGCAGGTATGTCTTGTTCATTTCATCAGCAAAACACACGACATGATAGAATATTAGCTGTGGACAATACAAGCGTAGAAGACAATCAGTGAACCTAATCTAAGTGCCTGTTAAGTGTGTTTTGGATGGGATTGCCTATCTGAAGTAGGGTCTTCTGCCAGAAAGATCTGGAAGTAACTGATTTAACAAACTCCTAAATTTTTTTCATTCTTTTTCTCCCTTCCTTTCTGTCTTTCCTGCGTGCCACTGAAATATTTTCTCCTCTGTTCATTTAAAACCTAGATCTCATCAAATACTTCCCAGTTGTCAAGTCGTGAGCCAGTAAAGCTCTGTGGGAAGTCGGCACTCTTCCAATTGGCAGAGGTAAAGTTATACCCATTAGCATCATGATAGGGTGATGCATGTCTTTTCCTCAAAAAAGTATGAATTATGCAGGGTTTGTTCTAGGATAAAATTTGGTATTTCCAGAAGCATAAATTAGTAAATAATGGAATAGCAAGAGAATTAGGCAGTAGCAGTGGCCCCAGGGACCTAGCTTTTCTTTATACACTTGTTAATGTGCATAGTTTCTTGGAGACTGCACAGAAAAAGTTACGCTTCTTTTTAGAAAAATTAGCCTTGTAACTATAGCAAAAACAATGCTCAGGACAATAGCGAAGACAAGAGATGACAGCATTCTTCTTAATGAGGAGATGGATACCAGGATTTAAAAAGTAAAGCTTTGGTTATAAGGACTGGAAGGTGCATGCATAAACTGGGGACTAAGCATAAGAAGAGAAAAGTAGACTTTCAGATCATCAGGAATCTGTATGAAGAGTTGGAAGTTGAAGCAGTGTACTAAGTTCTGAAACTGGCAGCTGTCAGTAGTAATCAATAATACTAGGTTAGGTTTCCCAAAAGTCCTAGAAATTCTCTGTGAGTCTTAAATATGACCTTGTAGAGGTCTCCTCTTTGATATGGATGAATCATTCCTTTGAGGTTTGGTGTGCAAATACTGTTCTTCTTGATGATTGAGAGATGAAGATATATGTTGTATTCCAGGTAAATAAGGGAGGATGCTAGCACCTTACTCATACACTTTTTTTTGCTTCCCTTTCCCCCCCCCCCCCCCCCCCCCCCCCCATTTTCAAAATCCCATCCTATATCAGTGAGGAAAATGGTTCTCTGAATCCCGTCTAGTGGCATCCAGCCATATATTCTTGCTGGTGACGTTAATCCCTCCAGCAAAAAAGAAAGAGGGGTTGGAAGCGCTAAAATAAAAGTATTTCATGCCTTGTTCCATGTATAGTAGTGCTACTGTCTGACTTTATAGGAACTTAGATGAGTGGAAGAAAACCTGCCTTACCCTATAGGCAGTCCTGGGCAGTAGTAGAGTTTGTGAGCATGTGCTATGTTCTCAGCAGTGCCTGTGCAAGGGTGATTACACCTAACTGTGATCAGTGATCCGTAAGTGCATTTGATTGTTGCAGCCCTGGGACAGCAGAAAGGCTGGTAATCTTTAGCCGGAGACACCAGAAGTTTTTGAGGTGTCCTCTTACAGGACAGCAGCAGGCTTTGAGTAGTGCCGTTCTGAAGTAAGGCTGTTGCTAAGTGCAGCCTGACTTTGGAAGTCAGCATTAAAAGTTGTGCTGTGGCTGTGAAGCTTGTGAAGCTCTAATTTGGGGGAAGGACAGGTGCTTGTCCACAGGAGTGCAGAGTTTGTACTGCAGTTGGCAGTAAAAGTGAAGCTAAGTCTGGCAGTGTGACATTTGCATGTTGGACAGGTTTCTGTGATCTCTCTCCTGGTGATTGCTCAGATGGATTCCTACAAGCCTAATTTAATATACAGAAAGAATGTTAAAGGCTCTGATTCAAACTGGGAAAAGCATGGCAACTCATGTAGTATATTACTGCTATCAATTTATTTTTTCCCCCAGTTTTGGAGAGCTCTAATGTTGGATTGTAATTGGATAAATAAAATGTGAGAGATTCAGCATAAGTTTTCAGACAGCAGTTCAGGACCTGGTTTGGAGCATCCCAAATAAACTGTGTTTATCACCTCAGGAGTGTTTTAGGTTTGCAGGTTCATTTGGCAGACATCTGTGCCATGCTGCTCTAACTCCAAACCACAAATGCTGTGCGCTGGAGGGGACTGGGCTGCTGTCTCTGTGCTGCTGGCATGGCAGGGGTCTGATGCATGGGAGCTTGTCTGCTTCATCATACCACACTGCTCTGCTCCTCCTTCATCTCTCTGCGATGTGGATTAACCAGTTTTATCTTCTCTCCCCACCCCCCACCCTGCCTTCCCTATGCCTTCATCTTTGATATTTCACAGATGGTGATAAAATAAAATCCAGAAGTGGATTAAATTATTTTCTAAAAAATTCTGAGAATTTCTAAGTTTCTAAAAATGGTTGGAGCAGCCGCTCTGCAATCGGAAGCCTGGGAGGCTGTGGCTGATCAGCTCTGCTGAGTCTCTTGCTGTGCCTGAATGCACGCTTTGTGTTTAGCCTTCAGTGCGGAGTCATGAGAGTGAAGGGAGGCGGGGGGGGCGGGGGGTTGCACATCACCTCTGCAAGGCAAGGAGGCCACTTCTGCCACAGAGCGCTAACAGCACTAATAACGCTTGGCTGTAAGCGACGTTTGGAGACTTTGAGTTGTAATGGCCAGAACTTGGGAGATGCTGTGAAGAGCTGCAGCTTCCAGGAGACTTAGAGATAGCATTGTTAGCTTTTTTTTGTTTATTTCTTTCATGACAATGATGGGTTGATTTCTGCAAGATGGATATTGTGGGCCCATGTTGGTTGAGAGCAATGAAAACTGAGTTGGGGTGGGGGTGGGGTGTAGGAGGAGCTAAAAGGTTGTAAACACTTTAGTTCTCCCATCTGTAGAACTCCACCTCTTTCTAAGGAAGCAAGTACTAAGAAACCTGCAAGCCTGATCAGAGATTGTGGGATATGTCTTCTAAAATAGAACATTTTCTTCTTCATACTAACAACCAGTTCTGAGACTGATGCTTTTAATCTGTTTAGAAAAAGATCATTTCTTTGCACCTAGCTCAAAACTGGTACAGAACACTCTATTAAAGTATTGCAGAGGATCACAGCCTGATAGGGGAAAAGGATTCTGGCAAATAATCAGCTACCTGCTTGCCAGCCTGCCTCCTGTACTCTGAGAAGTGGTAAAGGTTACCAAAGGCTTGAGGGCCTCTACTTCACTTTGGTGTCATAGCATCTCTTTTATATGAGTCCAGTAGGACACCAACAGGCAGTGCCATAGCCTGACAGTAATAACTTTCTTAAGCTATGACAATGAAATGATTTTGCAATCAAAATGTCCAACTAAGCCTTCAAAAACACCACTAGCTGGGTTGCATGCTGGTGTAGATTGGTGCTTAGCCGCTGGAGGCTGTTCATGTGTGAGAGAGCGTGTGCTTCAGTTCATCCTACTCTTCAAAGGGAGTCCTGTCAAGAAGATCCCCAAATCTGTGAGTAACTTTTGGTGTCCAGTTGTATTATCCACTGGAGCAATGGTGGAGCATGGTTTTATTTATAAGAGCATGCACAGGTCTGCACTTCTTTTTCAAAAGATAATTTTATGAATGAATTTTGGGAAGAGAGAGGACACAATCCATTCAAAAGGTATGTGATAAACATAGGAGAGTCATGCTGGTAAAAGAATGTTGTTGGTTTCCCCCCCCCTCTTTGTTTTTTCTTTAGATTTCTTCAAGTACATCCCATTCAGGTCCTTCTGATTTAACAAAGCAGTGTGGAACATCAGCATTATTTCAGCTGGCAGAGGTAATATTAAAACACTGATGACTGATTACTACAGGTGCAGTGGGGTGGAGAAGTTAATGATGATGCTGAAGTCTAGAAGGCAGAACGTTGCTACAGTTATAATTACACTGTTGCTTATAGAAGCATAAATTATTGTGGCTTGAGTGCCACAAGTCAAGATTTCCCCAGACTAGCCATCAGCTTGAAGGTTTCTAAGAGTCTGTGCTGCAGCTGAGAAGTACCAGTCCCTGGTGGAAAAGGGACTTTCCAATCACCATTGAAATTGTTTCAGTTCTTTGGTTTAGGGTTTGGGGTTTTGACTGCTTGGTTTGGCCAGGAGGCACAAGGAGTTGAGAGAGAGGGCTGGATTAGTTTCTAACTCAGATTAGGGCATTGCCGTTATAAATTCTCATTAAAAGGTTATTAGTTGCTTTCATTTATTTCTGCTTTTTGTGCCTACTGTTTTGTGAATAAACAGGTCAATAAATAACTTCCATAGAAACTGCTGTGATACTCTCATCCGATCCTCCTTCTGGGAACGGTTAAAACCAATAGACTTTAATTGAAAATTTGGGGGTTTTTTTGTTTGTTTCTAAGCTTTTTATTTTAAGCTTTCCTAATCTCAAAGACTGCAAGTTTATTTAGAGCTCACAAAACAGAAGTTGCTTTTTTTTTTAGCCACATCCATAGCTCTCTGTACTGTTGGCGATTGCAGAAGAAACAAAGGTATAAAGAAAAAAAAATGCATTAGCGAGGAGTGTGTGTGTGTTGAATTGACAAAATACTATTACTGTCCAGCGAGTTGTATTTTAAAGATTGATCTTTAGCTTTTGAAAATCACAGGCTGTGTTTACAGTGCAGCGCAGTGAAAAAGTCACAGAAGTCCCTTGGTACCAACGGTTAAAACCCCTCAGCATAGTTGTGGGGTTCTCCTTTGCATAATTTAACCTGCTTCCTAATAGACACACTGCAGCCCAAGGTCCAGTGTTTCCAGTGCTCAGCCTAGCTTGACCTGAACCAGATCAAGAGTTTCTACCCTGTGCAGCAAGAATTTCAGAAACTTGCTGCAAAGCGTTCTGTCATTGGTGTTATGCTCATACGTATATTGGTGTAAGACATATTTTTAGCTTGCAAGGAAAAAATGCCATGCTGATTTGATAAATCTAAAATTGACCTAGAGAGAACTGAATGATCTGGAGGGTACATCCATATTGACCACATGGCCCATGGGCTGAGTTGCAGGATAGGGAGACTCCTGATGCCTGGTTCAAAGCAAGCCTCTTCCATTTGGTTTTGCTCCACGTGGCTGTGGTTGACATTTGTTTTGAAAACAAAATAGCACTGGGAATTCAGCTTGGGGGCTTTGAGAGGGAGACTAGGAAGAAGAAAGCATGTCTTTCGAAGTGCAACTTCTTGGTGCTGTGAAGGACTACACTCTGTAGCACTGTCAGCATAGTTTAGGGGTGATCCAAAGCCAAGAAGATCTCCCAAGTGCTGCAGGAACATGGCAGTTTGAGGACCTAATTTTTACAGCTCTTGTTTTGAATATTACAGTTCCTCAGACAGTATGAGGGTTTTGGTTTCCATTAATGTTATCTCCAGGAGGAGATAACCATGGCAACCACTGTTGCTTTGCAGTTCTTTGCAAAATAAGTCTGTGACATGAGAAGAAAGATTTGGAAGGCTTTTTTACTACCTTCCAAATTATTTTGCACATTCAAGTAAAAGAAAATAATCTTGATTACTGAGATTCAATTAACTCTTCCGCCCCCACTCACCCCTTCACAAAAGTGCAGGAAAGAATTGTATATAGGGACATTTAGGAGTTGAAGGGGGCATGGATGTAAGATTTCAAGTTAACTTGTCTGTGGCAATAGAGATACTGTATTGTTCCACTGCTTTTAGGATATTCTGAAAAATCAGTCTAGCAGTGGGTTTCCAGGTTATATAAAAGGCACTTAAAGGATCATGGAAACACCACTGGGATCAGTTGGGGTCTTTTGCTATTAGAGAGATAGAACCCGCCAGCCTTGTTCTAGCACTTAGCCATCATGATGTCACATCAGTTTCAGTATGGTTTCAGTGTGTTTTTCAGTACTGTCACTTAGCATAGTTTGCTTTCCTGAACTGTGATGGCAGAGAGATTCCCTATGTAATGCTGCTGTTAAAATAGGTAAATCATGTTAACAGTTAATGTTTGTTTCATGGGACTATTTTTAAACTCATTTTAGATGTGCCTTGCTTCAGAAGGAGTAAAAGTGAAAGAACCTGGGAAAAGAAAAGTGGAAGCACCAGAAGATGTGGGAGGGGAAGTTCCAGAGGAAATGGAAGTAGAAGAACTGGAAAAAACAATAAAAGACTCCTGTAAAGGAAAAGTAGATCAATCAGAAATAGAGAAAATGCAAAACCGGGATGAGACTAAAGCTGAGGAATCAGAAACTGCAAAATGCAGAGATTTTACTAGCCTTGCAATGGAGAGCAGTCCTTTTGAGAGAAATGATAACACGAAGGATCACATGTGCTGTTCTCCAGAGCTTTCAATGGCTGACATGAATATCCTCGGGCTAAAGCCAGAAAAAATAAAGAAGAAAAAGAAAAAAAATAAGTTGGACCGGCACACAAACGAAAAATCCACCCCCAAGAAACCTTGTAAAAAGAGGCAGTCCTCAGAGTCGGACATTGAAAGTGTAATGTATACAATTGAAGCTGTTGCAAAGGGGGACTGGGGTGCTGAGAGACTTGCGGAAACTCCCCGCAAAAAAACCCGCCCTGTCTCAAATGTGAAGGGAAGCCTGTTGGATACAAAATCACCAAAGAAAAAAGTGAAATCGAAAGAGAAAAAAACATCAAAGGAGAAACCCTCGGAGACCACCAAAGAATCAAAGCCTCCCGATTTCCTTAGTATTGCAGCCAGCAAGGAGGAACCGTGTGAGGCTTCTGATAACATTAAAGTGGAACCACTGACCCCAACAGAGGAGGTGGTACCCCAAAGCTTACCAGGACAGGTCAAAACTGAGGACAGTGACTGTGTTAAAAAAATAGAAACCTGTGGCTCCAGGAAATCGGAGAGATCTTGCAAAGGTGCTCTTTATAAAACTCTGGTGTCAGAGGGCATGCTCACATCTCTGCGTGCTAACGTGGACAGAGGTGGGTGGCTTTGAGTGTTTCATTTAGAGCATGAACCGCAAAAGCCTGCCTGGAGCGTGAGGAAGAGCAAAAATCCGTGTTTAAGCTGGAGTTTGAGCAGTGTGTGATGGGAATGCTGTGTCTGATCACCTGAGATGTTGGGGGCAGGTGGAGGGGACGGATTCCATGGTCCAGGGCAGGTCTTCTGGAGTCCTGCTGACTGTATTCCTACTTAATTCACAAACTTTTAACCTCTCCCTTTTTGTCTTCACGATCTGAGATTTAGCTTTTTGAACGAAGGCTTTGTTGGTTAAGTTGTCGGCCTGCTGATAGATGTATGCAGGATGTGTTGTGTGTAACCCTGAACAATTAGATTGTTTCTATATGAAGAACTGTAGTGGTTGTGAGCATAGTTCTCAGTCCTACAGGAGGCAAATGTTCAGTGCTTCTGTGTTGGTTCTTAGTTTTGCTATAGGTGGTGAGTGAGAACCCTTTACCTTGTGGAAAGATAAATGTGAAGTAAGTTCTGGACGCTGTCAGTGAGATGTCTTGAAATGTGTTATATATGTAATTACAACAGCTAGAAAAGAAAAATATGTTTGTAATTTGGGGAAGTTCATTACTGTAAATCTACTAATCTCTTTCTCTTCCTTTATACCTCGAGAGATCCTGACTTCAGAGGTAGTATAAAAACCAGAGGGCAGGGGGTAATAGTTGCCAGTATCATCATTATCTGGTTTAAAATAAATAAATGATTTTTTTTTTTTTTTTTTTTTTATTTCAAGAAGGTCAAGCTTCATAAATTGCAGTACTGAATGGGTACACAAATTCCTTTTGAGGAAAAGTTTTGGCACGTTTTTCTAAAGATGAGAAACAATTTTCTGCCTTCATCCCAGGCAAAAGAAGCTCAGGAAAAGGCAACTCCTCAGATCATGAAGGATGCTGGAATGAAGAAAACTGGGCTTTTTCCCAAAGTGGGACAAGTGGGAACAAAAAACTGAAAAAGCCTAAGCCAAAGGAGGAGTTTGTTTTTGGGTAAGTTGCAGCTTGACACTGTTCAATGTTTTAGTTAGGTCAGCCTGGTAACTTAAGAGTGAGTCCTCCTCATTGCAGCTAAGTGAACTCTGTCCAACACCCAAAGTGATCACAGTTAGACAGAATTACTGAAGATTACAAATGCCACTGGGCTGAGTCATTCTCTAGATACCTGTTGTTTATATACCAAAGTAATTCCTTTGAGAACTTTTATGATTTACACTACTGTAAACACATTTGAATAACGTTATTTGTTCAGTTCTGAAAATCTGTGCAATATTTACCTGCTCAAGAGGTGGTGAAGAGGGTTACTTATATTTTCAGAGCACTTCACAAGCAGTATTTAAAGTTCTGTGGAGGTGTTCAATCATCATAAACAGAATTAGACTAGAAAGAACAGATCTCTTTGCCCGCTTGGAGAGATTGCTTACAGAGGAAGAGTAAACAATGTTCTAAAATTGGCAAATAATTATGATAAATATATAATTTTTCCATTATAGGGACAAGATATTTAAATTGTTCATGTAGACTGTGAAGAAATTAAATATATTGGAAGAATAGTTAGTGATTACAAATGCATTAAAATTTAGCAAGGCTACACAGAATTAATTTTCTAGTATATAAATACAATTTCTTGTCAGAGTATTACAAGTTTATTTAATTGCAGGCATAGCTGTTGAATCTGCTTAGCCATTCATACTTAAATTGCGAATTCTTGAAGACTTCCAATTACCTGAATTCGGAAGGTGAAAATGAATTAAAAAGGAGGAGAATTTCCACACTGCATACTTAAAATTGTAATACGTTTCCTTTGTGCAGGCTTGTGGTAGCCTTTTTTTATAACCTAGTCTATGTGAAATTTAGCTGCAACTCACTTTACAGCAAAGAGACTAAACTGATTAAAATCTTCAGGTCTTGTTTGCTTGGAATAGTCAAGAAAAATTGATGGAACACTTCTTGTATTTTCAGTGCACCGTGTATAAGTTTTTTAAATATTTTTTAAATTTAAATTGAAAGATTGAAAACTTTCCGCAACTAATGATGTGAAAACTGAATGCATCTCCTAGCCAAAAAAAATGTAGTTACAAATTATTTATTCAAATTAGCTAGGCAAATTGTGTAAATAATTAATTCATTCAACAACTACTCTGCTACTGTCATCAACTGACTGGATGGGGAAAATACATATTTGCCAGTCTTAGAATCATGGAATCACTTAGGCTGGAAAAGACCCTTAAGATCATCAAGTCCAACCATTGACCTAATACCACCATGCCCACTAAACCATGTCCCGAATTGCCATATCTACATGTTTTTTGAACACCTCCAGGGATGGTGACTCCACCACTTCCCTGGGCAGCTTGTTCCAATGTTTGACCACTCTTTCAGTAAAGAAATTTTTCCTAATGTTCAATCTAAACCTCCCCTGGTGCAACTTGAGGCCATTTCCTCGTCCTATCGCTTGTGACTTGGGAGAAGAGACCAATCCCCACCTCAC